AGGTTTAGGGCTATGGTTAGGGTTAGGGTTAGGTTTAGGGCTATGGTTAGGGTTAGGGTTAGGGTTAGGGCTAGTTTTGAGGCAGTCACTGGCCACCTCTGTCTTGTCCCCACCCTAGGGAGTAGGAGAGTGGAAAAGCCCCCTACGCCCCTTACCGGGTGGGATTGTGGAAGCAGCTCTATGTGCTGTCAGTGCAAACAGCTGGTTCAAACAGAGTCTCTGGTTGGAGTTGGGAGCCTAGCTGCTCGTCTACTTGAAACCCAGCTGACACCTGAGAAGAGAGGCAGGAAGTGCCCTGTGAGGCATGACATCAACCAGATGGCGAGTCACTCTGCTGTGCCCTCCGTTGGGGACCTGTCCCTGCACCGTCTAGGCAGGGCAGGTGCTCTGCGTCCCTCCCAGCATGCTTTGGTGGGGTCTCAGTCCCCCAACTGTGAGAAGAGCAGACAGCTTGTGTGGGCAGTCCTGCGGGGTCTGGTCCCCCACTCGCCTGATGCGAGACACCTGGCTGTGGGGGGAAGGCAGGGCCGGGAAGGGGCAGGGCTGCAGATGGGCCAGCACAGCACCAGGCAGCCTGGGCTGGGCTCAGCTGGGGGTCTGTAGGGCTGGTCCCCACCCCTGTTGGGGTGCCAACTCACTGGGAGCCAGGCTTGGGGTGCCAGGAGAGGGCCTGTACGAAGCCCCCTACCCGCCAGGGAGGCCCTGCCCACATGGCCCCTGGGATTTGAGGAGGGGCTTGAATTCACCCTGAGATGCCACACCCTAGTCCAAGTCTCTAACTAGTGGCTCAGGCCTCCTCCTCCTCAGTTCTGGGCACCTGCGTGCTCTTTGTCCAGGGCAGCGGTTCTCAACCTGTGGGTCGTGACCCCTTTGGCGGTCGAACGACCCTTTCACAGGGGTCGCCTAAGACCATCCTGCATATCCGATATTTACATGACGATTCATAAAGTAGCCACATTACAGTTATGAAGTAGCAACAAAAATAATGTTATGGTTGGGTCACAACATGAGGAACTGTATTTAAGGGCCAGAAGGTTGAGAACCACTGGTCCAGGGCCTGCTGTGCCCAGGTGGGCTCTGGGCATCCAGCCGGGATCTGGCTTCCCAGGATCTGCCCTGCACCTGCCCCAGGGGGGAGGGTGCAGCACCGGCCAGGCCCGCCCGGAAGGAAGGCCCCCCTGTCCCCGCTCAGAGCCGGAGCCCTCACTCCCCACTCTCAGGCCTTTGTTGGAGCTGGTTCCGCCTGCGTGGGGCCGGGCCTCCCTGGGGTTATTTTAGGGCCCGAAAGAAAACCCCGCTGCTCCCCACGCCTGGAGACGTGCTGAGTCAGCCGGCTGGCCCTGCTCTCACAGAGGGAAACTGAGGCCAGAGGGGAGGGCGGGGCCCAGGTCCAGGGCTCCTGCCTCCAGCCAGTGCTGCTGCCACATGGAGGCTCAGAGGCCACGCCGAGCTTGCCCGGTGTGGGTCTCGCCCCTGTGGGCCTCGCTGCGGCCGCTCTGAGCGGACCGGCCAGGGCTCAGGGGCAGCACAGTGGTGCCGTGTACCGGGGTCCCCCAGGGGCCAGAAACACTCCCAGGACCCACTGCAGAGGGGGTCCGAGTCCTGCCTGGACCACTGGCAGGGAGAGTGAGTGGGAATTTGGTGGAGGCCTGCACCCCTGAGCTCCAGGTCTCGGGGGGCAGCTCCCGGGCGCCTGGGGGCGGGGCCTCCTCAGAATCGTGCCTCCAGCCAGGACACCAGGGGCCATGGGCTGGGGCCCCAGACCTGACAACGGGCAGAAAGGGCTGCTCCCAGGCAGGAGGGTGGCGAGGAGGGTGGTGCCGTTTCTGGGCTTCTTGGGGGACATCAGCTGCCGTCGCTCAGGGGGGCCGCAGGGAGGGGGCAGCCGCCAGGCCCACGTGCCCCAGGCACACGCCTGGTTTCAGGGGTCACCGTGAGCTGGGGCGGTGGAGCTCGTCTGGGGAGGGCACTCCCAGCCATGGAAGGTTCTGGAACATGGTGGAATTGCTCCTCTCTGGGGACAAGCCCCCGTGGGAAGCAGGGCCTGGGGACTTGGGAGTCTGGAGGGTCTGTCCATCATCTTGAGTGAGTCCAGGGGGAGCCGGCAGAGGTTGGGGGGCCCACTGAGTGGTACGGAGCAGCCCAGGTGGCGCCAAGAGACGGGTTCTTGGGATGCGAGGACAGACGGAGAACAGCCCGCCGAGGGCAGGAACCTCCCACGCAGCAGCGGGGAGACTGCAGGAGGGACTTCCTGGCAGCAGCCGTGCTGGCGGCTGGGGGGCCCGGGAAGGGGGGTCGGAGGGTGGTGCGAAGGCTTCCCCAGAAAGAGCCTCTGCCTGCCCTGAGGCAGGGCCGCTCCCACAGGGCCCGGAGCACCCAGGGCACCCTCCCTCCTGGCACCGTGCGCGCTGGTGACAGGAAGGGGAAGGAGCCGAAGGGGTCAGGTGAGGACAGGCTGCCGGCACATCTCAGCGCCGTGGGGGCTGATGAAATGCAAGTCCCGTCAGCTCCACCCCCTCCCGTGACTCAGAGCCGCCGTCACCCTCCCTGTGCTGCTCCTTCCTCCGTCTGCGAGTCACCACCCTCCTCCAGGTGCTCCCAGTCTGCGGGCGGGAGGGACAGGGTGGCCCGGTGAGTCCTCATTTTCACCCAGAAGCCCCACCATCAGCAATGCAGGTCGCGTGGCTGCCATTGTGGGCGTCACCACCACCATCTGCAGCTCTATTACCACCACCACCACCACCATCACCACCACCACCATCACCACCATCACCACCACCACCATCACCACCACCACCATCACCACCATCACCACCACCACCATCACCACCACCACCATCACCACCATCACCACCACCACCATCACCACCACCACCATCACCACCATCACCACCACCACCATCACCACCACCACCATCACCACCATCACCACCACCACCATCACCACCACCACCATCACCACCATCACCACCACCACCATCACCACCACCACCATCACCACCATCACCACCACCACCATCACCACCACCACCATCACCACCATCACCACCACCACCATCACCACCACCACCATCACCACCATCACCACCACCACCATCACCACCACCACCATCACCACCATCACCACCACCACCATCACCACCACCACCATCACCACCATCACCACCACCACCATCACCACCACCACCATCACCACCATCACCACCACCACCATCACCACCACCACCATCACCACCATCACCACCACCACCATCACCACCACCACCATCACCACCATCACCACCACCACCATCACCACCACCACCATCACCACCATCACCACCACCACCATCACCACCACCACCATCACCACCATCACCACCACCACCATCACCACCACCACCATCACCACCATCACCACCACCACCATCACCACCACCACCATCACCACCATCACCACCACCACCATCACCACCACCACCATCACCACCATCACCACCACCACCATCACCACCACCACCATCACCACCATCACCACCACCACCATCACCACCACCACCATCACCACCATCACCACCACCACCATCACCACCACCACCATCACCACCATCACCACCACCACCATCACCACCACCACCATCACCACCATCACCACCACCACCACCACCATCACCATCACCACCACCAGGATCTGCAGCTCCAGCTCTAGCTCCACCACAAAGCTGTCGCTACCACCTTTGCTGTACAACTGTCTTCCCAGCATGGTGACCCCGCCTGCCTCAGCTCCCACCTCTCACAGGGCGTGTTGGTGGCTGATGGCAGATGAAAGTGGAGGAGGAGGTGATCTTAGCTGCAGTGGTGGATGGCAACCTGTGACTTGTACAAAACGCCAAGATCTGTCTGGGGGCCTGGCCAGGTCCGGAGAGGAGTAGCTTCTGGTGGAGGGAATGGCAGATGGGGAGGCCACGGCTGCCCTCGGGTCACCTGCCCTCTGAGGAATGGAACCAGGACGCTGGGCTCAGACTCACCACCTGGGACCACTGGCGGCATCGCCTGGCCCTGAATTGCGGTGTCCTCGACTGTGGGCGGCACCAGGACCCTGCAGACACAGGCAAACCGCAGAGCGCCCGCCCTGGCTCGGCACCGCAGGCCTCTGGCCACGGCGCCCACAACAGGCTCACCGAAGGTGACGAGGCCAGGCCCAGAGGGCTGGCGGGCGTTGGCAGAGCTTCTGGGAACATGGCTGGCAGGCTGCCTGCGAGGAGGCAGGAGGGACAGCAGGCTCTGTGACCAGTCACTGTGGGGCGGCCATGGAGCAGGAACAGCTGCGAGCAAGGGCCCAGGCCGGACACAGGACGTGGCCTTGCCGGGAAGACAGAGCCTCGAGGAGGGAGGACCAAGGATGGAGGGGAAATCGGTCACCCTGAGCCCTGACCCTGGTCACACTCTGAGCCCTGACCCTGGTCACATGCTGAGCCCTGACCCTGGTCACACTCTGAGCCCTGACCCTG